CGGTCCGGTCAGTCATCAGCACAACTGAGATGAGATGCTCAAGTCGAGAGAGATACTCTGGTGTAAGACCAAGACGATGACGACGACGACGACGTGCATACGGCAACCCGGGAATTTATCCCCAGACCCAATTGCGATCGACGGGGAAGAAAGAAATAAAATAGGAGAAAGGCGAATATAAGCAACGATATTAAAGAGGGAAGGAAGAAATAAATATCAAGCGGTTCGTAAAAAGCAACCGTGAGGGGATCCTTCTGGGTTCGGGTATTGGCCAAGGCAGATGAGAGCGTGAGAGAGAGAGAGCGAGGTAGAGGGGAGACAGGGTGAGATAAAAAAGGATGTAGAAAACATAAAAATGATTGGTGCGAAAAATGTGTCATAAAAATCATTCGTACCATAAATAAAAAGCGCTGAGAGTGCAGAAGTGTGCGGAAGTGTGCGGAAGAACACGGAACCGTGCATTGGACGTGAACGCAAAAGTGCGAAGTGGCGAACGATATCAGAGCTCAACGGTAAAAGGGAGCGAAATGTCAGATAGTAGTAAAGCGATGTTAGGTACTTATACGTGGATCGTTAGGACGTGTACACAACACACGGGAGGTGATGGTGATAAGGAAGCAACTGACATTAAAGATGTGGCCCGTGTTTCTTGGTAGGTGTGGCTGAAACTCTCAGTAACATATCGAGACATGCACCTACGATGTCAACTGGAAACTTATTATTATTTTCTATGTGACAGATAATAGGGCCTTCCTTAGCTCAGTCGGTAAAGACGCAGATACAACTCAAGACCATGCTGGAGGTGGCTGGGTTCGATTCCCGATCAGGTCTTTGAATTCTTCGGGTTGGAAAATTTCTAGACTTCCCTGGGCATAGAGTATGATTGTACTTGGCAAATAATTATACTAATGCAAAAATGTTACAGGCATCGAAACCCCCCTTTAATAACCGTAGAAATGCATCTAGAACACTAAGTTGAGAGCACGCAATAAGATAATATGCGATAAGCAATAAGCTTAAAATGCGAAGAAAAAGAAGAACATTGAAAGTAGGTCGCTGTGTATATTTTCTTGTTTAAAGTCCAATAAAATCTCTCGACTTCTTCTCAGACACAGTTTTGATTCAAGAAACGGTTTAAGAGTTAGATTTTTTTTATTCATATGTGAAAACATATCGGGGAAATGACGGCTTCGGCATGACAGACTACTGTCGGCAACCCAAATTAAACGCTAATATAACTGGATTTTCTTAAGAAAACACTTCGCTGAATGCATTCAAACTATTCTTAAGGCTTTCAGCTTCAATTTTATTATATTTTTACCACTGAGAAAATGCAATCTAGCAGGGTTTTCTTGAAATGAAACACACGCACTACAAAACGCTGCTGACTTCGAGTTGCCGATGAAAGCACAGCTGTTTAACATGCAGCTCAAATAGAAAAGCTGCCGAATAAAAAGAGGTTGCCCACAATAGTCGCTCTCACTAGAGAATATTGGAGCTTTGTAAAAGCGTTTCAAAAAAGTTTTTGACAATTCTTTCGACTGAAATTGTTAGATCAACTGGCAGTAAAAGACTGTAAACAAACCAATACTGTATATGTGTGCGTTCCTTAGAGAAAAAGGCTATACAAAAATGGTCGCTGCTTAGGTTGCCGAGAATACGTAAATTCCCCTATTTCCTTTCCAAAAATTAGTCTTGAGTCAAAATGGTCTCTTGATCTGTGGAAATATCAAAATCGGAAGGACGCGCTCCAAGTCGTTTGCTCATTTGACAGAGAATTGCTGTATGTTAGTTTTTTGAACATGAGTGGAATAATTATCCGTGTTTAATGATTTAGTCGTAACTTTATTGCTTGTGTATTGAATTACAACATATTTATGGGAAATGTAGGTACACCAACATAGTTTATGATATTCACAACAATTTTTCAAAATGTGCTCCTTTGACTCGAACACACGCCTTCAAGTTCTAAGGGAAATTATCGATGATGGACGTTAGTTCCTCCACAGATATTGCATCCCAGACTGTTGTCAAACTTGCTTTCAGATGATCTTAAGATATGTATGACTTAGTACAGGCTCTGGACTCAAGAATAGACCAGACGGAATAGTCCATTGGATTTAAATCAGGATAGTTTGAAGGCCATTCATCTTTTGTCAAATATCTAGGAAAAAATTTGCTACAAAGCTCCAGCGTCTTTTTCGCTCCATGCGATGGTGCCCAATCCTTTTGAAATGTCCAATCGTTATTAGCGAAATGCGTACGTGCCCAAGGTGCAAAAGTGTCCGTTAGCAGCTTCTGGTAGACTATTTGGTTGATTTTGACGCCTTTTTCGATAAATTTAAGGGAGTTTTACCGAAAGCTGTAATTCCCGCTCAAAAACCATAACCAAATCTGGATGATGTGATCTGGCAACATTCGTACGGTTAGAAGAACCCTTTGGCAATAGCTGGCGATCGTTTTGGTGGTTGTAGTATTGCTCAACAGTGAAAATCTTCTCATCGGTGAATAAAATCGTGCGATGCCGTCCATTGCCGAAATCCTTCAATAAAATCTTGGATTTTTGGTACCGATTCCTTTTCATCTTGTCATATAGGTAATGGTTCTTCGAAAGTTTGTAAGAATGCAATCCTAAATCCTTGCGTAGAATAGTTCGCACTAACTTTGGGTCGATTTTCAATGATTCCGCCATTTTTCGGTTAAACCGTCTAGAATCTCGATTAATCCTAAGACGAAGTATGTTCCGGTTCTGAGGAGTCCGTCGATCTTGTTTTCCGTGCTGAGCACCAATGCTACCGACACCAGGGAGGCAGCTCCCACACCTGGACCCTACCTATCGACCCATCAACTCATAAACCGGGGACCAACGGGTTTACTTCCCTTCAGAAGCAAGGCGTGATCAGAGATGTTATGCCTCAGAACATCCCGGCGGCGCCGACTGGGATTGAACCCAGGCCTGCTGGGGTGAGAGGCAATCACGCTTACCACTGCACCACCGGTACCGCTGTCAGAAAGGTTGAATACGTCACAAAAAAACAATACAACGGATTTGAAAGATGTTTTCAAAGCAATTAACATATAACTTTATAACAACTGGGATTTCATTTATTTTTCATGAACGGTGTTGCAAATGTTGCTTGGATTATTGGATGGTAGCTAGAAGCTTCAGTTGGATTTTGTCCAGCTTCAAAATTGGAACAACTTTTACCTCTTTTCATTTATCAGGAAAGTATGCAAAATGCAAACATCTGTTAATAATTTATCGAGTTTATTGATGAGGATATATAAAATTCCATCATCACCTGGAGCTATCCTATTTCAATTTTTTTTAGTTATAGATCTTACTTCGTCCAAATCAGTCCCGGGAATTATCATACATATTTTTCTGAGAGAAAATATTCAAATAATCCTGAGCAACCTGATGCTCCATAGGACTAGTTTTTGCAAATCCCGCTAGATAACTTTCATCGCAGCATCGCGTGTTCTTTGATAGTGCCTCCTACGGACATTTTTCAGACGGATCAAGAGCTGAAAATCATCGTCTATTATTATTGAATCGAATTTAACCTTACATTTTGGTACTGAGGTAGCTCTTGCATCAACCGATTCAAGAGCATAATTAATTTCATCTTTGGTTTGCAAAGGAATATTTGGATCAAAGTTATATTCCGCAAATGTTCGATATTGCTCCCAATCTCTATGGTAATAGAAAGTAGAGCTGTTGGGATTAGAAATTATTTCTTGCACGGAACCATATATTTTTTTTATTAAAATCAAAAATATATACATATGAGTTATTCAAAGATTTGTTGTTTGAAACAAAAATATGTATGTTTGGATTAAATTCAAACGCATTTTTATTTCAACAATATAGAATTAGGTTAAATGTGTTTTAGCGTGTCCTACTTTGTTTACACTCGTTATTCTTCGCAACTCATCTATGAAGGTAGGTCATATCAAACCGTGAAACCGAGTAAATGGACGTGAAATTGAATAACAGGATCCGGAAACCTATCTAGGTAAGTGTCCAAATAAAATTCCAGCTCGATAAAACCGGCGCAACCCCACAAAATCAACGCCACTCCATTGTTTTTGATTTTTTTTTTAATCTTAATTTAAGAGATTTTTAGCCGAAATTGTTTCTGATGCCGATCCTCAGATCTCCCTTCCCCAAGACGTCGAAAGAAAAACGACAATTTGAAATGGATTCTGAATCCATTATGGATCCTCTTCCTTCTCCTGACACCGAACGTAGAAAGAGGACCACCGTCAGAAACGACAAAACGACGCCAATCCCACAAAATTTCACCGATTCTACTGAACTGTAACCCCAGGACACTCACCCCGACAGGCCTTTTGGAACCCGGACTAGAACACCACCACACACAGACCACCCTTAATCGACCCCGACGAATAGCGGGAATTTATATGTCCTGTCTGCAGACCTTTCTTCTATTTATATGCTATCCATTTTATATTTCTTTATCGATTTCAAATACTAGAATAGTTTAAAAAAATAAATTTGTTTGTTTTAAAAATGAAAAAAAAAACATATATGAATAAATTTTCACGCTCGAATATTTTTAAAATAAACGTATTGCGCATCTTTCCTCTCAATAGATTGATAGTCAAATAATTTTGTCACACCAAAATATTCTCACACCAGTCTCCTCATCTTAACAGTTTCCTCCGAATACTTCAAACCTCTCATCAATAGTTTGTTAATAAATATCGATATCATTTTCTTTGCTTTTTGTAAATACACGCAAAGCGACATTTTTCATAAAAACAGTTCGAAATAGTTATCACAAAAATGGTTCCAACTGTAGTTGGATTTCCCGCCTGAACTGGCAGATGTTTATTTTTGTTTTCGAAGTCTCACTGCTGGTTTACTGCTTATTCTGGAGGTTGTTTTCGAGGAACTTTCGTTTGGTGAGTGTTTTACAGTAGAAATGAAATCAATTTATGATGATAATTCAAATAAGATTGTAGCAACGACAATGATCAACGAGAATTCCAACGGAGGCGATAACGAACCCGCTAGTGAAGCGGCTGAAGGCTCGTTTGTTGATTATGATTTGGAGGAACTGGAGGACGAGATGGAAAATGTAGAGGCTCAGCTACCCGTAGATCAGTTGAACGTCACCGATGCGAGCAATGCAGCAAACATCCGTGATGGCTTATTTTTCCGTTCACTGTTAGTGTACAAGCGACAATTCAAAGGACATTCATCAGGAACCTATTTTGCTCGCTGGGAGCTGTCCGCAGGAAGCAACAGCAAGTTCATTCACAAAGTTTGGAATTTGTCGAAGGAGTATTTAGCTCGTGAAGTAATTTTCGTTTCAAACGCTGATGGGACATCTAGTCCATCATGGAGCTCCAACGAGTCAGCCATCGAGAGTGAATTCCAGAAGTTTGTGCTATTCCAATCTGGCCGGCGAAACTATACTTTGGATAAAGTGAGCGATGAAAAGAGTAGTCTTTTACAAAGCTGGATAGACAAAGACATTTCTTTGTTTTTGCATATGTATTCGCTCTCCATAAGTAGTCGCGTAGTTTGGAATTCGGTCAAGGATGTGTTGATTGATCCAGCTGAAAAGGACAGATCCAGAGCAGCAATGACTAAAGCTGTGTTTGAACTATCTGATGATCTCAGAGGCACTCACGGTGAACATTTGGACGGACATGGAATGGCTTGGTCGTTCTGGGCCAACAGTATTTTGAACGCTCCTGCTCACCTAAGGCAAGCAATGATGGACCATCCTCCCCAGCATTTATCTCATTTGTTCCGGGCAAAAGAAGGACCTCGTATCAATGCAATAAGAAGAAAATTGAACGTAGCCCACAGTGTTAACGATAGTTTTCATGAGGAGATCACATCACTTCGTCAGGCTTTTGATATTCTGGAATCGAGTTTTGACAATGTTGCCGAAACGATGAAGATTGTGAAACACCGTCTGGAGGCTTTGGAGATAAGAGACAAGCAGAGCGAAACTCTCATAAGTGCTATGGAGTCTTCTGCTAATGTTCTAGAAGATCAGCAGGGCCGGACATTGAGCATGGAAATCACCGACGCTGACGATGTTGATCATGTTTAACCAATTTATATTCGGCCATTTATTTCATCGTTTCTTTCTTCTGCTAAACAAGCATTCAATGAAACAACTTTTACAAATAAGCAGTTAAATAAAACAAACTTTATCAATCTCCTTTCAAGGTTATGTCAATCAGTTCTTCTGGAGCTGCTATAGTTGGATCAAACTTTCCTCCGTGAACGTATTCGCATTTTCTGAATAGTTTAGTCATACTGAATTTGGAAAACGATTTCATAACCTCAGCTACCAACATTTTCAGATCTTGAGTATTATTCTCTTTGCAGTGTTGTTGCATTCACACAATCTCGATCGGGTTGTAGAAAGGTGTATATGCTGGTGGAAAGATCAGAAATACACCCAATGAACGAAAATATCCCACGATTTTGTCATTGCAGTGGATACGGGCACCATCAAGAATACATATGGAGTGATAACCGGGGTATGTTTCAATATGTTTGCTTCTAAGAGCGAACTGTTTGCAATGTTGGAAGAAGATCATTCTGGTGAACGTCCCCATTCAAGCATGCCATGCTGACCTATCATGCAAAGACAAGAAACTCTAGCCTTGCGAATGAATTCTCCTTTACAAATCAACTTTTTACCTTTTATAGCATATCCATGGGTACGCAGCATACCCCGGTTATCGAGAGATACTTCGTCTAAAAACAATAAATGTGGATAGCCCCAGTTTAAATTGGTAAGCTCGAAGCAAAATCTATAAATGTCATCCTGTCTTATTTGGATAGCTCGCCGCTCAAGCCTTTTCCAGGTAAAGCCTTCACTATGGAGAATCCGACAAATGGATGAGGCAGAAATACTAATTTTGAAATGCTCTTCAAAAGCAGTTCTGGCTTCATCCAGGTATAGCAACGGACGTTGTCTGTATAGATCCACTAGCCACAGACGTTGCTCATAATTGAATTTCCACGCAATAGTATCATGCTGTATCCTGTCCAAAGTTCCGCATCGTTCGTAAGTTTGAATCCAGTTCGAGATCGTTGTCTTGTGCTTGCCGTAAATAAAAGATAGTTGAGCTCTGTTCAATCCAAGAAAGTAATACCCAAGGCATGATACATAGTATTATCCGATGCTCTTCGACGTTTTACAGTATTAATTATATCAGCCATTCTGTAATAAATTGTATTCATATTCTGAATTTAGTAAAAATCATTGCCAGATCAAATACTTTTGACGTTTCTGAATAAAAGACAGACAGTCTAAGGAGCAATGAAATCGACAATAACATTATTTTTATTTAAAACATCGATTGTATTGACCTCAAAAATGAAATACGTTTGAAATAAGCCTTTTTTATTCTTGTAGCCAGAACAAACTGAGTTTACGTTTAAATTAACCTCAAATATTTTTGTTTTGACGATAGATTTTTCTGCGTGTGGGATATTTCAAAAGTTACGGGAAGGTGATCAGAACCGAAATCAGCATGGTTAACCAATGTGCTACAAAGTTGACATGAATCATTTAAGACCAAATCAATAGTGGAGGGATTTCTTGCAGAAGAAAAGCATGTTGGGCTGTTTGAATATTGAATAGTGTAATAACCTGCAGATCATAAATCATCAAACAGAATATTACCACTGGAATTGCTTTGAGCATTATTCCATGAGCGGTGTTTTACATTAAAAGCAATTATTTTGCTGGCAGCTATAAACGTAAGTTGTCCAAATTTTGTTTCGACAGAAACTACCAAAGTTTCAACAACTTTGGTTTCAAATGAAGAAAAAAATTGATATTTGATACGTATATGAACAATGACATTATTTTCAACAGATCCAGCATTCCAATTAATCACTGGATTTCAAAGTCATGGCTATGTTATTAGTAATTTTAACTCCAGTTTGAATAGCATCAAACATGGAGTTAGTTTTCAGCATATCAGTAATCATGTCGATCAATTATTTCTGTAAAAAAAAATCCATTTTAGGGCGTAGCTTTCTCCGAGTGTTTTAATGCATTGCAATAGTAATCTGTATCGACATCCACAAATTTCCTTATGCATTATCATGTACAACTTTGATCAGAGGAACGCATGTAGATCAATATTTTTATGCCTACTTAGTTTTGATTAGAAAAAAAAAATGTTTAAAGATCTAGTTATTCATGGAGTAAATCTGATCTTGAAACTTCAAGAGCACACATTTCAGCTCCCACAAACCATACAATACTGAAATTGCAACTACAGCAAACGTGGAGTTCCAGTCACCTGAAATAACGATGGGCATTTAACAAAACGTCCTCTGTAAGAATTATGCCAACGTTTCAAATCTTTCTGGCGCAAACCTTTTCTTCGGCAGCAATGAACTGTACCTTTTTTGCTCAGTATTCCAATGTAACACATAAAATTCAATTCCCGTTCATCAAATCAGTGTGAAACGGCCACTGTACACATTGTTACGTTTTATTGCCATCCATAAACAGCTTTTAATCGTTATTCTTCTTATCGAGTTATTTACTTTTTTGATGAGTAAAAAAAATATCCCAAAATGACTCCAGAGACAACAAAGCGCAATGAAACCAAAAACATCGTTGACGGCCACGGAACACACAAATCAAACAATGCATACATCAAACGTAAGTATGCGGTTTCTTACATGCTCTGAATTTGTTTCATATGAGATATGTAAGGGTAATTCGCACAACAGACAGTTGCGACTAGCACAAAGCTTCCACAACAAAATATTCTAAGCCAAATATTTTGGTGGAGATTATAGCAATTAAATTGGTGGGAACTTATTGCGTGATTATTTAACGAATTCCTACATTTTTTGTTCAAAACTGTAAAGGAATCCTACATTTTCTTTTCGGATGAAGCCACGGTAAATTCCTTCCTCGCGTTAAGTTGGCATTCTGGGGGTTTCGGTTTATTCCGGTTTATGGCGATAAACTCTCCCGCCGTTGTTGATGAGACCATTACCCATCAAAGCAGGAGGAGTACTACTTACTCAGCAAGTGGCTGATCCCTATAAGGATGATCACCACACCAACCGTTTCCTGTTCTTCTGCCTCATCCTTCATTTATCTAGCTGATAATTTTTAATACATTTTTGACCAATACCTAGGCTTGTTCCCGAGCCATCCAGCTTATTGCCGGTCGTAAAAACGACGACGGCAACGACGACGACGATGACGGTAGCGAAGACCTAGACTCTAGCGAAACCAAGCCATGAACTCACCCCACTGCTGCTGCCGTGTTATAGTCCTTGTTCGTCCTGGCCAAAACTAGCCGACGAAAGAATCTCCGGAGAGAAATGAAGAGTTTTTTTTTACAGTTATGTTCTACAGATCCTCATAAATAATGATACTGTAGTAGGGCAGCAACAATGGGTGCAAGCCGAAGCAAACGTGGATGTGCGGCATTGAAGGAAGGAGATAAAACGAACGAGCGGGTGCACACAGCAGTATGTCCAAAATCTTGAGCACATACAGTAACCTCTAAATTTATACGGTGGGTGGTACCGTCCACCCACCGCTGTTTCTTGGCTGTCCTTCAACCTGATGACGCTGATTTTTTTGCGTTTGATTTTTTTTTTTTTTTTTTTTTTTTTCTTAAAACGTGTTTATTTCTGATTGTTTGTTGTTTTACATATTACATAAAATTTTATAAATGATTTATATCTTAAGAGAAGTATTAGATATAGGTTAAGAGAAATGTTAGTTCGTTTACATCTAAATCCTCCCTAGCTCCATCCTGTACATATTTGAGATATTCAAGAAATATTTTTGCAACTTTTCTCCTTTCTTTTGTCCTCAAAACAGTCAACTCCGGAAATTTAAACTGATTGAATCCTATGTTTCTAGTTTGAGTTCTGTTGATTAATTTTATTTGTGTTAGAGAATACCACCAACAATTTCGCACTTTTTCGCAACCAGCATACCTGTGTTCAATATCCTCAACCTCTTGAGGACAATAAACACACATTTTACTGCCCGCTCTACCAAAGCGGAATTGTTGTTCCGCACATGAGATTTTCTCATTTACAAGAAGATACCATGAAACTTGGTATTCTGATGAAATCTTCCTATCAAAAATATTTTTCCATATTTTTCCCCAGTTGTATTGTGAAAACTTCACCATTATGTGTGGTTTTGGTAGTCGAGCTATATAGTTGCTGTACAAGCTAATTGATGATGGGTTTTCTTTTAAATTTTCGTGTAAGTATGGTAGTTCTAAACATAATTTTTTTAAGTAAAGAGAATTTAGTGGTATTTGTTTTATGTTCGGTGGATTCATTAAATTATCAGTAAATGTGTGAAAAAATGGTGCGATTGCCTTCAATCTAATATATCTATTAATTAATAATGCCTTACATTTATGCTCAGGCGAAATCAATCCCAATCCTCCCAATCTTTTTGGGAGGCAAAGTTGATCAAAAGCGACCCTGTATGAAATTCGATGCCACAAAAAGTTTCCATACATGTTTTTAATTTTTGCAATAGATTTCTTATCAATTGGAACAGTTGAGGCTACATACCAAATTTTTGACGATGCATATGTGTTCAAATATACAACTTTTTGTATTAGATTTAAATTTCGAAATTGGTTGTTCCATAAAACAAATCTTAGGTTTTGAAGTAATCCTTCCCAATTCAACTCAATCATTGATTTACTGTGATTGTGATACCATATACCTAAAATTTTTATCTTTTCGTCTAGACGAATCCATTCTGGCACATCCAAACTTCTGTCAATTCCAACAATCATTGCTTTCGTTTTCGAAAAGTTTACTTTCGCACCTGATACTTTTTCAAACATATCGAACATGTGTTTAATTTCCGGTAGTTTACGTAAATCATTCAGGATCATGCTTATGTCATCTGCATAGCTACATAAAAGATCTAACTCCGTTGTACAACAACTTTTAAGCTTCTGCAGTAAGGGTTCCAAATATAAGCAGAAAAGGAGCATAGACAGGGGATCTCCTTGTCTTACAGAACGTCCAATTTTTATGTAGTTTGATAAACTTCCATTTATCAATAATCTAGAT